TGGACCCAAAATTTGTGGTACCTACATACAATGGAATATTATACAGCCATTACAAAGGATAAAATAATGGCATTCGCAGTGAAATGGATGGAACTAGAAAAAATCATTTTGAGAGAGGTAAGCCAAGAGCAAAGACAAACAGCACATGGTTTCCCTGATATGTGAATGTTAAATCCAAAATGCAAGGAGATATGACAAAGTAAACAGGGACTCGAAAAACAAAGGACCTCCACTCATTTTGTTGTATCATTACCAAATGACCCCATGTTCTTAACCACATATATGGTATATATATATATATATATATATATATATACATATATATGTGTGTGTGTATATATATATATATACATATATATGTGTGTGTGTATATATATATATATATATATATATGCACACATCTGAGGGAAGCTAGGAAGGCACAAAAAAGGAGGGAAACAGGGGAAAATATACAACAGAGGGGTCCATCAGCCACACTGGACATTGATGAAAATGAACTAAACAACTCAAGGGCAGCAATGGGAAGGAAAGAATGAGAGGGAAAGAGGGAAGAGCTTACACTAAACAAAAGGAAAGAAATGTACATATCACCCAATGTGGAAGAAATAGTTGTATTGTCAAAGCTCACAGAATTTGCACTTTATAGACCACGATGACAATTTGCCTAGTGAAGGTTAGGTGTTGTGACTTTAACTAAATGTCACTATCTCACAATGTTGTGAAATTTGTGAAATTTATGTAATCACTTAACTACAATAAAAATTATAAAAATAATTCTCATTTGTCTAGTTTCCAAGTATATTGCAATGTGGCAAAATCTTTTTTTTTTTTTTTTTTTTTTTTGTGGGTCATGGAGCTTGAACTCTGGGCTTAGGTGCTGTCTCTCAGCTCTTCAGCTCAAGGCTAGCACTCTACCACTTGAGCTACACTTCTGGTTTTCTGGTGGTTTATTGGAGATAAGAGTCTCATAGACTTTACTGCCCGGGCTGGCTTTGAACCACAGTCCTCAGATCTCAGCCTCCTGAGTAGCTAGGATTACAGGCGTGAGCCACTGGTGGCCCGCTGCAACGTATTCTAAGAATATGTATTTTGTGAAATCTATTCTACTACATAAAACTTCACTAGGAGGGGATATTTTTGAAGAGGCTGATATGTCTTATTTGGGGAAGGGGGAATAGATCCTCCTGCTTTGCCTCCCAAGATTACTAGGGTTTAAATGTGTCTCCTAAAAGCTCATGTTAGAAATTTAATCCTCAAATTTGTATTTTAATGCTATTTGGAGGTAGAGACAGAAGCTGGGGGCACTGAAAGGTTACTAGGATTAGGTGAGGTCACCAGGGTGTGGCCCCAAGATAGCATTAGTGCCTTCACAAGAAGAGGAAGAGAAATCCAAGCTATCAAGGTTTCTCCTTTTACTCTGTGATTTCCTGTACTATAATATGATTTAGGATACTGATGATGTCAAGCTCTTGGCTTGAGACTCTTAACTCCAATTAATGAGCAAAAAAGCTGGAAGTAGACAGTTGGCTCAAGTGGTAGAGCACCAGCTATAATTGAAAATGATGAATGGGAGTGTGAGGCCAGAGTTCAAGCCCAAGAACAGGGGAAATATAAAGAAAGTGATCTTAAAGAGAAACTAGAGGAATTTTTTGTTGTTGTTTTTTGCCAATCGTGGGGCTTGAACTCAGGGCCTGAGCACTGTCCCTAATGCTTCTTTTTGTTCAAGGCTAGCATTCTACCAACTGAGCCACAGTGCCACTTCCAGCCTTTTCTGTTTATGTAGTGATGAGGAATCGAATCCAAGGCTTTGTGCATGCTAGGTAAGCACTCTACTGTTAAGCTACATCCCCAGCCCTAGAGGAATCTCTTGTACCACATATGCACTTCTTCATGTTTACCCTTAACCCAAATGCTCTAATCTTCAATAGCAAGTATGCAACAGAGCAATGTTTGCTTTCAAAGTTTAAAAACAACAACAGTGGGCATTGGTGGCTCATGCTTGTAATCCTAGCTATTCAGAAGGCTGAGAGAGCTTAGGTATTGCCATTCAATGCCAGTCCAACAGAAAAAGTCTTCATATTCCTTCTCCAATTAATCAGCAAAGTGCTGGATTAGAGGCAGTGATTCAAGTGGTAGAACATCAGTGGTGAGCAATGAAGCCAAGCAAAAGACAAGGTGCTTTGTCTAGGCCCTGGTAATCAGCAAAACAAACAGAGGATTCTTTCTTCTATTTGCTCCTTCCCATCATCCTGCTGTTTGAAAGAATATTCCCTAAATAAGAATTTTGCAGTCCAGATAGATGAGGGAAAATGAATCCTGTTTTGTCATCTTCAGCTTAAGAGATCGCATGTCAACTCAGAAGAGACATGGTAAAATGCTTCACGTATAGCAGTTCTGCAAGCCAGTTCAATGGCTGTTCAAGTGGGCTATGTGACCCTGCCACTGCCTATAGTGAATTTTCTCTTGGTAAATGAAGAGTTAAAGGGGAAAGACCTAGGCTCCCTGGCTCTCTCACTGCCAGCACTGCCAGTTCTGCTTCATTTTCCCAGTTTATCTGTTTGAATATTGAAATGAGAAAGATTATATTCCTCACACCACCAATCTGGGTGTCATGAAAGTTAAGGATACGGAAAGGCATAAGGAAATGTTTGAAACAAAAGTCAAGGATTGGGGGTGGGGGTAGGGATAGGGGTGGGGGTGGGGACGGTGGGAGAGTTTGTTTTAAGACTGTGTCAACCATGGGCTACCTAGAGAGACCCTAACATACAATCCTCCTGCCTTAGCCTTCCTTAGTGCTAGGATCCCAGGCAGAACCCACCAAGCCCAGTCAAGGGTAAATTTTTATCTGAGAAGTAGACAAGCTTGGAGGGAGTGAAACATTGTTTAGTAGCAAGGAACTTGAAAGAAGTCATCTACCTTTGGAGGATGTATGTATGCAAGAGTAGAGGAAGCAGAAGCAGCAGGAACTGCTGTCCCAGCAACAGCCAAGGAGGAAATCCCCAGACAGAAGACACATCATTACATAAGAGCACAAAATTCAATCACCACAGCATGGAGCCTAGCCAGGAAACCACAAAGTGCTGAGGTCTTGTCACCTGCCAGCCTGCATCTGCAGCACCTCATTCTCTAACTCTTCTTTGAATGCACCCAATTTCTAGGCTTTGAGAAAGTTAGTCTTAGCAAGTATATCCAACTGTGTCATGAAATGGTGGTTTGTTGTCAAGATTAACGCTAAGCATCCAGACATCTCCCTCCATGTAGCAGGTAAGGATTTGCCTCATGTACCATCTCTACTGAAGTACCCAAAAGTCACTCTTTAAACAGGGATCCCATCTGCAAGTTTCATACCAATATCTTCTGTGTCCCTATGCTTACTGTGCATAATAAATTCCTTAAGCAATAAGTGGCCACCAATGAAAGCTAACAACATGAGCCAGAATAAATTGAAGACTGTGAATCATGAAGACCTGACTGGGTTCTATCTTATTCACAGTATCTCCAAAACCTTTCAGTATTGAGAAGACATTATGTATCACACAAATATTTGTAAAACTGAATTAATGAAAAAAGTAAGCGTGCAAACTTGATATAATGTTTACAACATGAGAAATGGCTTTGAAAAGATTCTAGGAAGACTCTAGAAGCTACCTTTGTGACTTTGAGCAGGTTGTGCAGTGCTGGTCTCAATTGGAAAAATGGGGATAATGTTAAGGGAGATTTTCAAAAGCGAACTCTTGGTACAACCTTGGCACATAGTAAACCAAGAACATTTCCATATTATTATTATTATTATTATTATTGCTCTACCAAATTATTTTATTACTGAGGTGTAATGATATTCCCCTAACACTGGGGGGAAAAAACACTGTTTCTGCTTAAATATACACCTAAAAAAAAAAAAATACAAAGCTCAGAAAACCCAGAACTAAGTGCCGAGGGCATGTCTCTACTAGCCTCAACTAAATGGTGACAATTGGGTATGGAATTCCCAAAGCAGAAAAAAAGTGTGAGTGTATGAGTGTATGTGTGTTGTGCATTATACTTTTTTTTTTTTTTTAAAGCCAAAGGAATCCAAACAGTAAGAAGTGAAGTAGTCACTGTGAAGAGTGTAAAGACACTGTCGATCTGCAGATCTAGGAAGGGAGTTATAAATGTATTTGGGTAGCTAGAGCAAGCACACAAAACCTCAGCAAGAGTAACAAAGCCCAGCACATTGTCTGTCACCCAGAAACAATTCTGTAGCAACAGCAGCAGCAGGCCTCTCTTTAGCCACCTGAAGTTCAGTACAATCAGCCCAAGTTCCCGGTGAGCAGCCTCTGCTCTCCTGGAGTCCCTGCCGTCCCCAGCACTACCTGCCCTTCCCTTCCAATACCGTTACGGGGAACTTAACCACAACTGTGCAGAAGAGTCAGACTGGCACTAATATTTGCAGTTTCTCTTTTTAAAAAGGCGTCAAAAAAGTCTATATGCACATGCATATTCAAAGACACAAAACAGGAAGTGGTTTCCCTAAGTTTCGGCTCAGAAAATAAGTTGTTGAGACTGCAGAGCGGAGGAGGCGCGGGACACCCGAAAGCTCCCGCACGAGCGCCCGCGGCGGCAAGGTTTCCTCAGGAAATTCCACCCCCGCCCGAGACCGCCCGGCCCGGCCCGGCCCGGCCCAGGACCCGCAGCTTCCCTCGCATCGCAGACAGGCAAGAACGGCGGCCACACGGACGGCCGCGACCGCCCCGCGCACCGCCCGGCTCTGCCCGGACACCTTCAAGTCCTCGGCCTCCTGCCCCTGGGCGCCGGCCCCTCCGGCCGCCGGACCGGGGCTGCCTCCGCTCAGGGTTCCGGGCGGCGCCGCTGGTGACCGGATGACACGGGCCGGAGCGCGGAGCAAGGACGGCCGGGCTCGGGCCGGCGTCCCTCAGACTGACCCTCGCCCTGACAGCCGACCCGGCGCGCGGGTGACACAAAGCCGGCCCCGCTGGCCCCGGGCCTCGGTGACAACTCACCAGGGAGCCGCGCGGGGACCTCCGGGAAGGGGGGCGCTCCGCCGCGGCGCGCGCCCGCTCGCGATCCTCTAGGGTCTCGGACGAGCCCCCGCTTGCCCTGGTCTGGCTCGCGCTGGTCGGCGCTGGGAGAGGAGCGGGAGGCGAACGGGAGGGAGGGAGGGAGGGAAAGAGGGAAGGAGGCGGGCGGGCGGGCGGCGGGGCGGCGAGGCAGTCGCCGGCTTCAGAGAATAGAACTCGGCGGCGGCGCCAGCGTCACTGGCCCAGCTGTACGGCGCGGGCGGGGGAGGCCCCTTCTGAAGATGGAGGAGGGGAAGGGGCGGGGCGAGGGGCGGGGCCATGCGCGCACGCCACAAACGCCGGCGTTGGGCCGCCGAGGGGGCGGAGGGGGGAGGGGGCGGAGGGGGGAGGGGGCTGACCTCCCGAAAGGGAGGCCCCAGGCGCATGCGCGCCGCAGGTCTAGTCGGACGTCCTGCGGAAGGAGAAGACTTGGGGAGGGTCCTTAAAGAGACAGTCGCGCTGACCGAGCTGGTGAGGTCCCGCAGTGTTGCCGACTTGAGGCTTTTCGCCAAGATGTCTTCTGTACGTTCGTCGGTTCTTTGGCTATTATTGTCACTTGGATATTATTTGGAACACTGTCATTTGCAAAGAAGTGGACAGCTGTGCTCTTCCGCCCACGACTCCCCTGTTAGCTCCTTCCGACCTGTCGCTGACGCAGGTTGACATCCTTATGAAGCAGTATTATGGTGCCTAGCCTGCCTGCCTCAAAATTGCCCCTAACGGAGGTCTGAGCGCGGGAATGCAGATCTGGAGTCCCACCAAAGCAGGGGTCTGCCTCTCTCTATTTTAACTAATCTTCGGAAGTCTTACTTCGGGACACTTAAGGTTGAAACAACTGAAGTTCCATTCTGGAGCCAGATCCTGGCCAGGTTCCTCGCTCTGTTCCTGAACCCTGCCTCCCTGGGACTACTTTCCAGCACATCTTATGTGAGCACTTTGTTCATTGGATGGTTACGTCATTTACTGGTGATGTTTCTCTGTGGCGTTTTATCTTTGTGCCCCAGGCCCTTGTACTTTGTCTCCGAGATAAACCCGTACATTTATTCGTTCAAGTGCTCCTGCGGCTAGGGGTGGGATAGGGGGCGTCATCCTACCAGGTGGGCTTGTTTTACCAGATGCTTTTTTTTTTGGTGCTGGGGACTGAACCAGGGCCTAACTGATGCATACTACATGAGCTTTTCACTCGAAATTTTTTTCTTTCTTCTTTTGATAAGACTACATTCCCTCAGGACTTCTCACCTCATCGAGTTCTACCAGGCATTGGGGGAAAGTGCTATGAATTAACAGCATGTTAAATAAGCAACAAACAGAATAGGAGTAGTTCTCCCCCCCCCCCCGCCCCACCTAGATCTTTACCTTCCCCCCTCACCAATAAACACACTGATCACCAAGAAAGTCCTCCCCCTACTAGACCCCACAGCTTATTGCTGCTTTTTCCACAAGCCTATCCTTGCCTTGTCTTTTTGCTTTTTCTTCCTTGCCTTCCCTGCCTTCCAGTTTATTTCCCCCCTCGTGGGGGGGGGGGGAGGGAAGGAGGAGGGAGGGGATGGGATGGGGGGGAGGGGGACCTTAGAGGGTTGATAAACAAGAGAACTGCCTGGCTCTGCAGAAAAGCTTAGTAAAACCTGTAACCCTGGCAGTAGCACCCCAAAGCAGATGTAAGGTTCAGGAAGAACAAGAGGAAAGGGAGCAAGGGAAAAGAATACAAAAAGAATTGGAAGAAGACAAATGGATAGAAGGGTAGAAAAGCCTAAGTAGTGGTCAGATCATCTGAAAAGGCAAGTGAGCCCCCGGCTCACAAAAGAATCTGGCACCCTACTTGGTTCTGCTAATCACTCCTGAGTCCTCAGAAAGAAAACAATCTCCCCACTGTGACTACACCCAGTACTCAAATCTCCTACCCCTCCACATAGCCTCCTGTTCAGTCTCCCCATCCTTCTTGATGAACTCTAACAAGCCATTGCAGTCATGTCGCAGCCTATGCCTGCTCTTCCTTCTATCTGCAATGTCCTACCCTACTTAAACCTTCACACAACATGTGTGTGTGTGTGTGTGTGTGTGAGAGAGAGAGAGAGAGAGAGAGAGTACTGCTTGAACTCAGGACCTCAAGCTCTCATTTGGCTTTTTTGCTCAAAGTTGTTACTCTATCACTTGAGCCACACTTCCATTTCCAGCTTTTTGCTGGTTAACTAGAGATAAAGAGTTTCACAGACTTTTCTGCACAGGCTGGCCTCAAACATTAATCCTTGGATTCCAGCCTCCTAAATAGCTAGGATTACGGGTGTGAACCACCAGTGCCTGGCCTTCACACAACCTCTCTAGGACTTTTCCTTCTGCCCTTCTGTGTGACTTGAGCTTCTCTGTTCAATATTTATTTCCTTCTTCTCTGCATTGCCAGCATCAGAGTACATTTCTACCTTGGCAAATGTCGGATCACAAGCCTCTCCCCTCCCTTCCTTAGCTCTCCTGCTCTCCTTATAGACCTGGCCAAGCCCCCTATTAATCTGCATATGGGCCTTGGTCTTCTAACCTAAAAAATAGGATTTATCCTCCATTGCTCAGGGTAAGTGATATTTTTATGTCACTAAAATGATATCCCAAAGATGGCGGTTAAGAATAACTTAGACTTGCAGATGCTCAAATAGAAGGAAACATTAGGCTTTTTGTTATTTGGTTTGTTATTTTGTAATGCCACTGAGTCTCAAACTCAGAGCACTATGTGATAGGCAAATGATTTATGACTGAGCTATATCCCCCACCTGACAGATTTAGTCTTGCTATTTGGCCCAGGCTAGCCTACCTCTACCTCCTGAATGCTAGGATTGCAGGCATGCACATCTTGCCAAGTGTGTGTGTGTGTGTGTGTGTGTGTGTGTGTGTGTGTGTTGGTACTGGGGCTTGAACTCAGGACCCGGGCACTGTCCTTTAGCTTGTTCTTCAATGCTACTGCTCTACCACTTTGAGCCACAGCTTCACTTCTCATGGATTTTCCTGCTCTGGCTGGCTTCAAATCACAACCCTCAGATCTCAGCCTCCTAAGTAACTAGCCACCAGTACCCAGCATTACCAATTAAAAAAAATTACCCATAAGTAGTTGTACAAAGGAGCAGCCATTCAACAAAGCAGTTTGTGAATGCAGTGCATGTTGAGCAATGTCACTCCTTCCAGCATTGCCACTCAACCTTCTCAACCCACCCTAGTTGTTTTTAATTTTTAAAAAATTGTTTAAAAACTTTTTTCTCTTCCTTCCTTGCCTTCCTTTCTCCCTTCTTTCTTTTCTTTCTGTGTGTTACTGAGGTTTGAACTCAGGGCCTAATGCTTGTTAGGCAGGTGCTCTACTATTTGAGCCATACCTCCAGCCATTTTTGTGCTAGTTGTTTTTCAAGAAGGGTCTTGCAATTTTTTTTTTGTTTGGTTTTTTTTTTGCCTGAGCTGGACTGGATGGCAAGCCTACTTACTATACTTCCCAAATAGCTGGAATGACAAGCCTGTATGCCCAGCTTTTTTGCTGGGATAGAGTCTCTAACTTTTTAATATAGCTGGTTTTGAACAGCCATGTTCCTGATCCCCACCTCCTAATTAGCTAGGATTACAGGCATGAGCCACCATGCCTGACAATATTTCTAAAAATTTAATGATTTTTTTTAATTCAACCTTAATATTGCCACAAAATTTTGAGATATAACTCCCACTAATTTGCAGTTTAAATACACAGTTATACACTTAATATGTACAATTCAAGATCTTATTATATATTCACAACATTGCAAAACCACTACCACAGCCACTTTTATATACAGTTACTTCTGGGGGTCCTCCCAAATCTTCTGCCCTTAGCAACCAATAACCTACTTTTTGTCTCTCTACATTTGTTTATTCTAAAAACTTCATATAAATGGAATTGTTCAATATGTAGTCTTTATGACTGATTTTTTTGGTTTCTTACGTCCAACCTAATAAATTTTAATTTAAAGGCTATTTTTTCATTTATTTAGACCCTGCCTTATTCTAAATGGATTTGTGGTGGTTCTTCCAGCCAATATTGCTTATGGCTGGGTCTTCTTAGATTTCACAATCTTTTTCTTTTTTTCTAGGGGAGAGGTTGTGCTGAAGATAGAATCTAGAGTCTACAAGCAGGCTAAGACAGATCTATCACTGAGCTACACCTGCAGCCCCCCAAAAAAAACTCTGGCAAATGTCAGCAGGGTTAGACTAACTCCAGAGAGTGTCAAGCAGAGATGCCAACCATCCCTGTTTGCCTGGGGCTGAGAGGGTTACTCACACATGGCGCTTCCAGAGCTTAAGCTAGGACAGTCCTAGACAAAGTGGGATGAACTGGTCCGTCCTTTGAAAAGAGTCAGTAGGCAGATATTGCTCTTGGAGTGTGTGCTTTTGCCAGTATCAGGGCAGAGAAGCTTGACTCCATCAGAGTGAAGGCTCAGAATAAGTCCACAGTGTCTATGTTGCCATGGTTATTACATTTAAGAGCAATAATGGCAGCCACTACTGTGTGTCAGGTGCTTGTTAGGAGCTTTATCCTTATAACCTCTAATTCTGGCAACAATCCTTCAAGTCCTGGATCATCAACACCACTTACACAGGCAGTTTGGAGAGATATTTATGACATCAAAAACCACATAGCAGGTATGTTGTAAAACCAGAATTCGTTCTTGCTTGTTCCAAAGGTCAAATTTTTCCAACAAATCATGTGGTGCTTCCTACCCCCAACAAGAATAGCAAAAATGTCTCTACATTTCTCTTGATCTGTCTCAAAGTGCTTCTTTGTACATCCAGAATTTTCTTCTCACAACAGCCCTATAAAAATTTTACCTATAAGGAAGTTAAGGCCCCTCAGCATGTTTGCTTATCTAGTCTCACACAGGAATTAGTCTGGTTTCATATTTTAATTCAAGATTCCTGGGCAGGCTTCAACGCCCAAGAAAGTAAACTCAGGTGAGGTGAATGTGTTCTGCCACCCTTAGGTGGCACAGAAAGTCAAAGTCCACACAGGAAGGCCAGACACAATGACTCTAAGGCCTAAGCTATGGGCCGCTCCCATTCTAGAAGAGGAAGATCCTGAGTTGAACTAGCTGTTTGAGTACATGAACCTTCACCATCAGTGGACACTCCTCCTTAGAGCTTGTTGGGAGCCTAAGAGAGCCAAGTTCCCAAACCCCATAGGCCCCTG